CCCAGAGGGAGACAAATATCTTATTAACGCTTTGGGGATGGGTATTAAAGCAAGACTCGATTCCTGCGATATCTATTCCCTTCAACAGGACAGTATGGCCCTGGAAATATCACCTGCCGGACCAACTGCAAGACTCTGTCATGCAACTGTCGACATTGGACATCTTGGCACTTTACTTGTTGGAGGTCGGGCTTCTCCATCAAAGGCTCTCAATGACTGTTGGATCTTCAAGAAGGACTCCAACCGTTGGGAAAAGACCTTCGATCTCCCTGCACCACTGTTCCGGCACTGCGCTGTTCACTTACCAGGCTCATCTCTTGCACTTGTTCTTGGTGGTAAGACAGGACCTTCCGAGATTTCGCCAGATTATTATGTGTTCCACCCTGTCAAAGGGTGGCTCAAATGTTCAGTGACCGGCGCCATACCCAGCTCTACTTTTGGAGCAATTGCCGTTGCTTCTCCAAATCCCGGAAGCAAGTATGGCACTTTCCAGGGACTGATGGCAGGTGGAATAAGTAAATATGGTAAAATCAACGAGCAGGCTTATTTCTGGACTATCAATGTCTCAACCGATGTGGTATGTTGACTATACACACAAGACGGGTCGGCTGTTTGCCGACTTGAGGAGCATCATGTTCAATTTGCTGACAGAAACATAGCCACGCATTCACTTTGAAATAGTCCCTGACTCTCATGGGTATACAAGGGCACTTTCAATCTTTGGTGCCCAAACAGCAGACGTGGAGTCCTTGCACTTCGTATGCGGTGGTGTGGGACAATATCCATCCTCACAAGGCCAATCTATGGCTTGCATTTCGGTCAAAGATGGGCACTTGGAAGTATTCAACATCGACTTGAGAAATGAGGTCGGGCAATTGCCTTTCATGGTTGGCTCTGCGACTGTTTCTTCAGGCTCTGAGCTTGTTGTTTTGGGTGGAGGAGCTACCTGTTTCTCCATGGGAACATTCTGGGATACCGGCGTCTACAAGGTTGATCTCACGAATGCTATCTCGGAAATGCCATATATCCAGCCGGCGAACTGTAGCCCAGTCTCAATCAACTACCAGGATTCGCCTAAACTTACACATCAAACAACCACCATTGAACGGCACCAGCCTACTCTCAAACCCTCGATCAAGTCGGTTGCAAGAATCAAGCTACAATCGAAATTGGACTTTGAACAACTGGTCGAGAACAGAAAGCCAGTCATTATTGAAAGCTTAGACCTGGGTAGCTGCGTGGATAAATGGAGCCCCGAGTACATGGTCCAGCGCGTAGGCCAGACGAAAGAGGTTTGTCATCGAGTTTACCCCAAGCCTAGCCGCATCTACTGATGTGAGATATCAGATTGTTGTACATGAATGTCAAAGCTCAACAGGCAAGATGGATTTCAATTCCAAGAACTTTCGTTATGTTACTGAACCATTCTCGTCGTTCATGGCCAAAGCCGCTAGAGGTGAAGCGGTGTATTTACGAGCTCTCTCGGAAGCAAAGCCTACGGAGTCCCCAGCCAATCTCCAAGACGACTTCCCAGCTCTTGCCGATGACTTTCAGTTGCCAGAAGAACTTAGTTTGATCAAGGATCGGATGTTCAGTTCCGTGCTGAGGATATCCGGCCGAGCAAAGATGTGGCTACACTACGACGTGAGTAAACGTGGAAATTATGAGCTGCCCCGTTTGGCTAATCAACCGAGGGCTTCAGGTCATGGCAAACGTCTATACTCAGATCCAAGGATCAAAGCGTATGGTTCTCATGCCGCCAACGGACGTTAACAACCTGGCATTTGCGCCGGGTGCCTCAAGCTCAAGTCTTGATGTTTTGTCAGCCCTAGACAAGCAGGAGTTTGTGTCGACCAATCCGTACGAAGCCATTCTTAACCCGGGTGATCTCCTGTTTATTCCAGCGATGTGGCTTCATACCGCTAGCCCAACCACTGATCTCAGCGTTGCGGTCAATGTTTTCTTTCGTGACCTGGACAGCGGTTATTCAACAGGCCGAGATGTGTATGGTAACCGGGATCTGGCAGCGTATGAGAAGGCACGGCAAGACATCAGCCGGATTGTAAAGATCTTTGACCGTCTGCCATCTGAAATCCGTGATTTCTACCTAACAAGACTCGCCGACGAGCTGCTTCACAAACAGCACTGATGAAGGAAACTGGCGGACGGACCCGAACGATTGGAGGCGGGAGGTGAGAAGACTTTGTGATTAAAGATCACGCACGCCCTTGGCTCCATGCGCTACGTTTCACCCCATCGGCGAATCTACGAGGACCCTGCTCGGGCTTTCTTTAAGCTCGAGAGAACGCTGCGGGTGAACTCAACGTTTACCGTTAAGATGAATTTTGATCCAATGAGACGGATTGTCTATGGCTAAAGGAAATCGGCCAGTGGGGCTAAGGTTGACTTTTAATGGTTGAATATACCGCACACACACACACACACACACATGCACACCCACCCACCAATTCATGGCAAATTAAATGGGTAAAGGACTCTCCTATTACGAGGTTCGAGCACACTAAAAACATCATGATTACGCTTGTGTTTGCATATCACGGATGCATCTCTCGAATGGGAGCGCCTCTCCATGTCAGAGTGCTGTTTGCCCCTTGCAGAAGCGTCGGCTATTAGCCCCGAGGCCCAACACCTAGCTAGCCAGACGGACGAGCTGAAGCAGATAGCTAATTCCCAGATCCACATTCAATGTCCCCTTCGATCGTGCGCTTATCCGATGGATCTTGGAAGGCTATAAGCGACGCTACGATCATTAACAAGCCTGAGGCCTCCCGGAGCCTGTAAAGACACAGGGGCTTTCCGGCTTGGTCATCGCATATGCATTTGGCGTAAGACCCATCAATCTGGTGATGCCAGTATATAGGACGAGGAGACATGTGGAACGTCAAAAGACCTTGGTTGAAGCATCTTAAAAACATTTTACTTTGTGGATCACACAACCTAGCGCTGCAGCTAAAGTGAGATATTCCCGGGCCCTCATTGTCGCCAGCCAGCATCACGACAAAGCAAAACGCTTGGTTACAGCGGGCCGGCCACACTATTACGTTACGTTTAAACAATACACCAAACAGTTACGGTCCAGAATATGGTGCCCCCCCCCCC